TTTGTTGTTTCATTCAATTTTTAACTTCTAAGCGATGACTTTGCATCATCTAGCATCACGTTTTTTTCCATCTGTCTCATACATTTGTCGCTGTCACTACTCATTAGTTGGTCAGATTTTTGCTACTGGACGTGCCTACCAACCTAATTGATGTCAAAGATGGAAGAAGAAGAATAAGAAAGAGACTTATTTCTATAATCATAAGTGACACGGGTTGTCGCGCGCATTTTCGCCGTTCGTCTAGCACTATGCATGACACAACGAGATAAAATATTAATCAGCTAAATTGCACAATCATGACTGTCTTTCTCTCTCTCTCTCTCTCTCTCATAAAATCCTATTCACTATTCTATCGATATTGAAGACTATTGGGAGATAATTAGGCTTTTCTCTAGAACGTCTTTTAAGATTATACTTGAATAAAGAAGAAGATGAAAAAAAAAATCACCTGTCCATTATGTCTTTGTATGTATATACAACTAATGCATCGATTATGCAAGTGAACAATTTTGACATAGACATAAGATTGTTTTAGAAGAAAAAAAAGAATTCTAAGAATAAACAATTTTCTTGTCGACAATGACACAAGTGATTTGTGTTACATAGCAGATGTCTTTTATAAGCTTATATATAGACACAAGTAGAAGATTTATATATATGTATATATATAATAAGTATATCACTTGATGTTTCTCGTTCACTTAATTCAGTAAAAAAAAAACATAGATGAAGAAATAATGTAATCTTTGTACAGAATGCATACAATTATATACTCGAATTTCACTCTAGTATTCATTGAACAAAAGGTAATAGGTGAAAAAGAATATATGTACATGGTCGCGTGTCCTTCTCACTTTACTTTTCTTACTATATTGTAATAGCAAAAAAAAAACGAATAGGATGAATGTTCATTTATAATGATGTGACGTTGTAAGCATTAAAAAAAAAATTCGACACGAGAAAGGAATAAAAGACATTCACAAGATGTATCTAGCCTAAGTCGGCATACGCTAACATGATAAAAGAAAGTAAAGGAAAAAAAAAGAAACATTAATATAAATTTTCCGAACATAAATATTAGAACAATACACAGTCAACGTTATTATCAATCGATAAAAAATGGCATTGACAACCTTTTTATTCCTCATTTAAGAGCTATTTCAACAAATTGCAATACACAAATCTCTCACCTTAAGTTAACGACCTCCGTATGTCATGTTCGTTGACATATATGTACACATGCACTCAAAAATTGGGTTACGAAAGAATCAATCCATAATTCATTGTGCATACACATATATACACTATCATACTAAGTCAATTATCCGTGGTAATACTAGTAGAATGCACAGGCTGTTCTATTCATCAGCATTCCATATTCTATTCTTACATCACGATGATCGGCGAGGTGATACGTCAAGGATATTCATACTCATAGGAATCATAAATTCATACCAGCAAAAGAGTGTTATATTTCATATTGATGAGAAATACTGATGCAACAAATACTTACCTTGAGCTTTGACTACATTCATTCTTATGAAAGAAAAAAATTTTATCAATTTATTAATTACCCGGTCATCATTTGAAGAGCAAGTGTGTTTGTATATGTATTTACATTATAGAATTGACACACTGTGTTTTTGATGTATGCCGTTGATCGACATCGATTAATTGATAGAGAAAAACGATTTGCAATCGACCGCATACTGTGAACAAGAGTATAAGCAATGATGATAATGAATGGCAGTGTGTATGTTTGTTTACGGTACTAGCCTATCATCGTACATTGTGTTACACATACGCATCTGCGCGGTCAAAAGGAATAATTTGTATGTTGTAGTGTCGGTCAGTTCGCTTTTTTTTTTAGTTTAAAGGCATATACATATAAAAAAATTCTCTTTGAAGAAAATAAAAGAGAGAGAGAGAGAGAGGGAGACAGAAAGAATAGGAATGCGTGTTTGAAGCAGATGGACAAATGAGAATGAACAAAAATGATCGATAAGCGATGCAGTGACCGTACTACGACACAACAGACACTTTTTAGATATTCATCATGAATGACAAGTCCATAGCACCACCATTATCATCATTGGAATCATTATCAACATGGGATTTCAAGGACATGAAACAAAAGAAAAAAGATAGACAACATCGTATAAGACAATAGCGATCAAATGAATAGATGTCCGACATTCTTTAGGGACATTTTTACAAACAGATTTGACGGCAAAAATATTTTGAAGATGTATACAAATCACATAGGGATATTTTGATATATGCATTCACTATTTTTATATTCTGAATTTATAATTTTTTAAAGGTTCTTCAAAAAATAATAAGACAAATATATGAGCAACTTGTTAATTCAATATATATCTTTATGAATAAGTGCAATAGTAATAATTTCATTCTTTTGAATCATCAATGACTTGTATGAGAAATTCTCTAATGATGATTTGCGCATGTCTATGCCTTTGAGGCATTGTAAAAAATTCTATGCACTATCAACACTTATTACTGATCTTCTTTTGCTCTCTTAACACACATAATAGTAATTAATTTGCTTGTTCTTTTTTTTTTTCTTGACTCGTTTTCTTTTTATGATATCGTTTGGAAGACTCATCTGCTAATACTTATCTCTTTTCTTCGTCTTTTTTTTAACTTGATGTATGTGTCGAACAAGTCGGTCGATGAACAATGACGATGACGATCGCATACATCAAACATTATACTTCTTATCACATACTCATGTCCGTACCTAACCAAGATTAACAGACACAAAGTACATATACAGACACTTCATGTGTTAAGAAAGAAAGAGAATAGTAATATTCCTTCACATTGAACAGATTATGTCGATGATTATAGTACTATTGTTGTGATGAACTGAACAGAAAGAATTAGCCAAATGTATTGATATGAATGAAATGAAGTCTGTTTTTTATTATCTTTCCGTAAATACAATAGCAAGTGATGAATGATCAATTTGAAAAAGTGAACAATGAATTGTGAATTGAATATCTAAAAAATTTAATTACCCATACGTATTCAAATAAAGAGGATATTTGGTTCAAAGAGTAACATTCTAAATGAATTTTTATTATAAACGACTTTTTATTTTTCTTCAAAGTAGATGTATAGCGCAACATTGGATATTTTACTTCTAATATACGTATATGATTAATGAATGACATTGTCATGATGTTAATTAGATCGACAGAAAGAAAACTATAGTATAACATATTTCCAGATGTTTTTCTGATGAAAACCGAAGTTTCTTACGCTAATTCTCTCAACCTAGTTGTGTTGCACATTAAGTGGAATTTTTCTATATTTATTCTTGTCATTATGTATATATTGTTGTTTCTATATAAATATATTAAAAATAATTTTTTTTAGCCTTAGGATTGCTATTAGAACGTGTTAACATCTATCTTGTGTTCTGTTAATTAGTTTTCAGCACTTAAATCAAGTTATTTCTTGCAATTCAATTTGATTTTTTTTCTCTATATTTGATTGACTTTTATTATAAAATTTCATTGTTCTAAATACATGCATAATGTTTTTCTTGTTGATATATATATATACAATGGTTTGCAAAAAAACTTGGAACAAACTGACAGTATAAATATTTTATATTTTCTAGATTCCCTTGAGCATTTATTTTACTGTTATTGTAGGTTTAGACTTACTAGACTATCTGATAATAATATTTGTATATTTGATTAATTTCTATTTTGTCGCTCTTTATTTATAACCTGACATGGTAAAGGTAAACAGACTAAAAACACATTATATTTCTGTATTATATTATTGGAACATGGGAATTCGTTCTGTCAGAAAAATCCACTGAGATACGAAGATACCATTGTCTACAATTAGTTATCAGTTGAAAAAGCTCCGAACTCAAGATTTTCTACAACATCGAGCAAGCAAATGGTTGAAAATCGACAAAAATTTCATGTTTGAGATTCTACCAGTTATCATGGAACAGTTGGTTTTCATTCATTTCAAAATATTAGAGCAGTGATTATTACATCAAAATATAAGGAAACAACTCCATTTCCAAAGCTAAACGACAATCTAATAATACATGTCGAGTTCAACAAGATAACGACCGCAAGCATCGATCTTCAACAACTAAAAGATGGTTGGTTGCTAATGTTCCACTTATTATAGACTGGCTATTGAATAGTCCGAATCTCAATTCGCTTGAAAATATGCGGACCATTATGAAACATTGGATTGAAAAAAGAAAAGCAATAAATGTTAATGAGGTGAAAATTTTTATCGATGAAGAATGGAAAAAAAATTGAAAAAACTGTTATAATCAATTTGATTAACAGCATGAAAAATAGATGTTCCTTAGTTACTGAGTAAAAGGGAAGACGAGTTAACTATTGAGCTGCATATTGTAAAACTGTATATTACTATGTATTACATAAAGAAATATTTTTTTTGAAAGTAGTTGAAATAGGCGTCAATATAGACTAAAAATTTGTTCCAAGTTTTTTTGCAAACTACTGTATATGAGTAGCAGGACTTTTGTGAAAGACACAAACTATACAAATAGTGATTTAAATATAATTAAATTACAAAAAATATCACTCGATTGGAAGTGTGACGTTGAATAAATAAAAAAGTTTCCATATCAGCTAATAAAAAAGAAGTATGCACAAAATATAATCTTGTTGAGTATAGATTTTCATCATTTGATTCAGAAGTTTTTCTTTTTTCTATACATCTACTTCATTGTATTCCTAGCAAATCTAAAGCACAATGTATTGGCCTTGGAATTGATAAACGAATCTTCTCCTTGTATACATATTCAAGGTTACAAATATATTTTGAATTATTTTTCTTTTCCTCTTTTGTGAAATTGGAGAAAATAGAAAATTGATTTTATAGAAAACAGTATGTAACAAAAAAAAAACAAAACAAAACAAAAAGTAATTATTATAAGAAACTTCATAGTAAAAACATATAATATAATAAATTCATTGAAGCCATATGTGAATTTGTCGTTGTTTTTTATAGCAATGATATCGTTCTGATAGCTCTTGTATCCATTCAGAAAATAAATTGACAGTTGAATTTTCTTCTTCATTTTCACTTTCATCGTCGGTCTCATCAAAACTATGATCATTTCCAGTTATTCGAAAAATAACACTAAGAAGATCTTGTTTTAGTTGATCAAGAACATATTGACAACTATCAACATTATCCACGGGAATAATCAGATGTTGAATTCGAGGAAACATAGAACAGAATGGTTCAATATTGACAGCGTGTTGATCTTCATAATCATTTGGAGCAATAATGAATGAACGAAGACAGTTTGTATGAGAAAATTTAGCAGCATTTAATGCATCAAGAAGATTTGTACTAGTTTTTATTGATTTTAGATTGGGCATCATGTTTAATAAGGTAATAAAATCGATGGTAGGCACAATCTCTTCTCTGCTTAATTCTTCAATAGTACTCATATCTATAATTGTTTCCATATCAGTAAGGAATGATTTTGATTTTGGCCATTTACCACAGAGAGATAAATGTGTAACATGAAGAAAATGAGGAAGAATAGCATTCTAAAAATAATAAAATTTACAATTATAATATTTCATTCGTTATCTAAAAATTCTTTGTTTTATCTAACTCATTTTTGTCTTACGAGGAACTTATCCGATTGATAATCTCCGTTTGAGCTCATATTTTGCTTATAGGTAGGACTCGTAGTGTAAATAAAAATTCGGAAAGAGTTTGTGACATTGAGTCATTCTTTTTGAGTTATGGTCATTTTACTGAACTTTCAACCCTATTGCAGGGTATCACGAGAAAAATCTCAACAAGTAGTTTCGGTCTGAAAATCTTACCAACAATAGCTCTCATGGTTCTTATGATATTTTAAAAGTTTCAGGTCAAATGGATGTTTCTCTTCTGAGATATCACATTTGCAAAAAAACTTTACGTTCACAGAAGTACACCAAAAATAGTCCAGTTTTTAGAAATACTATATCGTAAGAAGAAATCATCCGTTTGAGCTGAAACTTTCACGATATCATAGAAAATTATGAGAGTCAGAGTTGGTAAAAATTTCAAGGCGAGATTTCTAGTTATGATTTTTCTGGCGATATCCTGCAATACGCTGAAATTCCAGTAAAATGACCTAATGACACGAATCCTTTCAGGATTTTTATCTGTACTATAGGTCCTACTTATGAGCAAGATATGAGCTCAAACGGAGATTATTAATCGGATGAATTCCCTCTCTCGTTAGATTTGAATTATAAACTTTCAACTAAATAAATAATAGAAAAAAAATACATATGTAAATTTCTTACCTCCACTTGAGGTTTTATTATGTTCCATGTATCTATGTATAAGTCACGAACATTATTCATACATTGAATTTGTAATGTTGAATTTTCAATAGCAGTAGAACGATATTGAAATGAAGATGACAGACTTTTGACCACATAGAAATCATTGAGATATGGTAATGTATAAAGAATAACTTCATCGTCATACTTTTCTAATGACACAAACCATTGTTTATCTTCAGTCCAAAATGGTGTTCGAAATGTAGTTATACATACATCTGTATCCCATACTGATGAATCTGGTAGATAAACTGAAAAAATAAATTCAAATTTGTCCATATTTGATACAAGAGTTGTCCATCGATGACCATCTAAAATCGATTCATCGTTATATCCAGTTATCGTACTTAAGCGAAATCGTTTCAATGTTGGTATCTCTTGTAGCATCCATTCAAATTTTGACATATTTATTGAACAGTCATAAAGTGTCAATGAATTTAAATAATTTGTCGATTCTATAGATGTGAATTTTTCGTTTTTTGGTATTTGATTTTCCTCATGATTTAAATTTTCCTCGGCTTGTACTTCGAATTCTTCATTAGCATCACTATCATTATCATCTTCGTGATTATTTGGAACATTGTTTAAATCGATTTCTTCATCAAAATTGAAATCACTTGCTGCAAATGTTTCTAATTGAGGTGCATGAATAAAAGTATTTCGAATGAAATTAACACTACAACTGCCTTTAAATATCATATGTCTAATTGAACATTGTTCAAGCCAAGGTAATGGATTAGATGTCGTTCGACCATATGATAGATCGAAGTGGACTTTGCGAAGCGATGGCTTAGTAAGAATAGACATGATCAATTCAACAAAAATCTCACCATAAGTTTCATCACTATTAATTATTTTGATTGAAAAAAGATTCAATAATGATGTATGATCAGCCATAGGAATTAATATTAGATTCATATATTCTTCATTATTAATCTGTATAAGTGTTAAAGAACGAAGACGTACAAATTCATTTAAAGAAAATCGTAAAAGAAATTGTTCGATTAAACCTGGACTATTTTCATCATCCGATAATGTTAATTCAATAATTTGTTCTGGACGAATACGAGAACAAATTAAATTAAAACGATTTAATGAAATAGTTTTTAAATTAAAATGATATTTATCATAAGTTGATAAGATACTATTAAATCGTTTACATACATTATACAATGATACAAAAATTGTTTCTATATCTAATTCATCCAATATTTTATATATAATTTCCACAGGTAATTGATCATTGATAGTCGATAATACTAATTCTGCTGGCATCGGTACGGCTAACTCTTGAACCGGTCTAACTTTAGTATAATTGCAACCCATCGTTTTTATTTTAAATAAAAGTAACACACGCACGTGTTTATTGTCGTTGCTTTAGATTTCTTTTTTTCTCGTCTTGTATCGTCTGACGCTTGAATAATGCAGAAAGAAAAGCTACACATACTTTTTCAATTTGTTTTCACTCGTGTTCTCTTTTGTTTTTTTTGAATGACTACCGTCAACCAAAACATCTCTATTTAAGTTGGAAATAAAAACATTCCCATATTTATATTCATCAGAATTCCGAAGTTAAAAATAGACTTGAAATTTTATGAATCTTTATAAATACTAAATTAGTTTTATATACTTAATCACATATTGTATGTTGTTAAATTTAAATTACCAAAGTATATTGATTTGATTAGTTCTTATAAAATATTTCAGATAATATAAGACTAAATTTTCAAAGTTCATACAAACAAATTAGTATCATCGTGATGGACATTATGAAACTATTCCAAGACTTCGATCTCATTATGTATCTGAGTATAGTATAATAGTAAACAATAGTACATTAGAAGAAGCACATAATTGAAGAATCGATTTTCATCAAGCTACACAACAAATATATTTAAATGCGAAAAATGATTATTTTATTGAATTCTTTTTTTTTTCAGCGATAGATAAAATAATATATCTAACATCATTCCAAATAAATATACACAAAGTAAAAGAAAAAGAACAAATTTACAAAAGATATTCCATTATGTTATAAGCACACTACCGTTTCTTCGGTCACTCGTTGAATCATCTAAAATTAGGTAAATAATCATAGATATAATAGTTAACGAAAAGATTTACTATTAATGGAACAGGTGTTCGTTTTGATTGTCTTTTTGATTTACGTCTACCGATTACATTATGAGCTGTTTTACAATAAGCACCATTTCGAGTTTCTATAATGTCAAATGACGAATTAGGAGTTGATGTCATCACCTAAAAAATAAACATATGCAAACATATTTTTTTTTTACAATGTTACGTTATTCATACTTTTATTTGGCCATGAACATTTTTCATTGTATGTAAAAGTGAAAAATCCAGAGCTTGATCATCAGTACGTGCAGGTGGATGAACACTTAATGTAGTAGCTGGTCTTGGTGGTGATGCATGTGACAATGGTGGAGGACGTGGTTTAGCTCGTTTTGTTTGACATTCAGTTTTACTAGCTATTTTATTTAGTAGTTTTCTTCCCGTAGTAGTGGATGGTGTTTTAACAGCACGACGTGCTGTGGTAACAACATTCGATTCTTTATTGGCTACTCGACGAGGCTAAAAAACAAAGTTACACATGTCGTATGTGGACATTACTATTCATTTCACATTATAATGTGTTCTACTGGTTTTTGATTAACTTTTGATAGGAACATCATAGCAACCTACGATTTTCATCATTCAAGACGGAAGATCCGAGATCATCGAACTATACCGAAATTTGATTGGTCAGCAGTTGATCAATCAGGTGAGTTTCTGGTAGAGATTTTTCAAAAAAGATATTCTGAAGCTATTTTCTTTTCGATCTACGCAAGGGTGATATTCTTAACTTGTTCCGTTCAAGAGTTATAAGACGTTTCCTGCAATCCGCAATTTCAACAAATTGTTCTGTTATCATTCGGAAAAGCAGCTAGGCAGAGGTAATTCAGTTCGAACCTAACAACAAATATTACCATCTGACTCAGCATGGAGAATCATCTTTGTTTAACTGCTTTTTCGTATGAGCACAGGTCACTTGGCTGGAATTAAGAATCCCAAGAAAAGTCTTATAACTTTCGAATGGAACAACCTAAGAATGCCATCCTTGTGTAAATCAAAATGAAATAGCTTCACAAGAATGTTTTCGAAAATCTTCACTAAAAGACTTGCCAGATTGATCGATTAAACTGCGATGGCTCTGGATCTTCTCTTTTGTATGATGAAAACCTCAGGTTTCTATGATATTCCTATCAAAAGTTATTCAAAAATAAGGTGAACACATTATATTTTGAAATATATAGTGTAGAATAGAAAAAAAATATTCAACATACTGTAGCAGCCGGTGTTCGTGATCGAATAGGCGTAAGACCTGAAAGTTGGGATGGTACTGCAATGGTTGCAACCATTTTTGTAGATATAGACGATGGTAGAGCAGAAGCTGGTATCTGATGATGAGCTTCATCAAATTTTTGTTGAATAGGTATATTATCAATTAAAAATGTTGGATCATTATATTGAGATAAAACATTTAAAAATTCTTGTTCAATTTGTGGTAATTCTCGATGAAATTTTTTACGTTTACGTCCTTCAGCTTCAGCATTATATCCACGTGTATGAAAACGACCAGGATCTGTTGATGCTTTCTAAATAATTGAAAAAAAAAATCAATAAATAAATATTGATTAATTCAACAAATATACGGTAAAAACAACAAAATCATTCCAAAATGAAAGCCATTTTTCATAAGCATCAACAATTGGTTTACGTTTTTCATAGAGTTGATTAATACGTTCATATTCAGCATCATATGCATCAAGTATATCCGATGATAAAGTTTCTATTCAAATAAAATACAAATAGATTTACAAAAAAAAAAAACTTTCATCTTACGAGAATCAAGTTTATTAAGAATAATTCGTTCATCATTTCCTAAATGTGCTTTTTCTAATAAATTAACAATTTGTTGATGAATTGATTGTCGATATTGTTGTCCATTTTTCATTCGTTCTCCACGACAACATGCTATTTCATGTTCAAGCTACAAAATATTTCATTCATATATTCTTACAAATCAAATTTTATTCTATTTACTTGTTTAATAACAAATGTATTAATATTTTCACTGCCAGTTTTATAGATTAAACAATAATCTTTTTCTGGATCTTTACCTAAACGTTCATAGAGATGTCCTAATTGATTATGTAATACAAAGAAATGAGCTTTTTGTGCTTCAATTTGACTTTCCAACTACAAAAAAAAGATTTCATTGAGAAAAATAAGACAGAAAACGAAAGTTTTACATCATGTATTGTGTTTTCAATTTCATTGAGACAATCAGCCGTAAGACAACGATTAAATTGTTCAAGAAGAAGATATTCAACAGTTGATGATGATGATGGTGTCCATTCTAATTGTTCAGAATATTCTTTTACTTTAAGATAATATGATGAAACTTGACTAAGACGAAGATCCTATTATGAAATATACGTTTCGATACAAAACAAACAAACGAATCGAGTTTGTAAAACAAACTTTTAAGTCGCTAAGCATTTTGATATGATCTTGAATTTTTTTATTCATTTCGACGAGAGACATCGTGATATCTGAAAGAAAGATTTCCTTTTTTTTTATGAAAAGAAAAGATACGAAGACTAACTTTCATCGAATTCAATAGGTGAACTATGAAGTAATGTACATAATTGTTTTTGTTTATTTTCAAGTTCATTTCGTTGTTGAATTAATTGACCTTCATTAATTAATAAATCTTGCATTTTTTTATCAATATAAATTTCTTGTTCTTTTAATTTTAATTTATCAAACACAGATGTCTAAATAAAAAAAATTAAAATCAAGAGCAAAAAATAAATAATGAAAAATTCTATACATACATCACTTAATGATGAAAGACCTGTACGTGAGATTAATTCTTCATAATCTTCAATGGATTGTTTAAGTAATTTTTTTCGTTTATTTAATTGTTCTTTATAAGTTAATAATTTATTTTCAAGTAATTTCTAAGAAATAAAAATTTAAATATTCAAAATAATTAATTCAGAAATTTACGCGTGTATATTCTTCAACTTTCGCTGCACGAGATAACCATTGATGTTCACTAAAACCAAATGAAGTCCATAGACGATACCATTCAGTACATATTGTAGCATGATCAAGTACAATATAATCTTCTTTATTCATATTTGTATGTAATTCACTGGAAAATAAAAATAGAGAATGAGAGAATAGAACGATAAGAATAATACATACGGTGGAACTTTTGCAGTTCGATGAATAGATTTTTTCCGTGGCTGGAGCATTTTCTTGAAAATTTCAAAATGAAAATGAAACAGATGAAACAAAAAAAAATGGTACAGCATTGACGATCGTTAGCGGTCTTTATCTCAATCAACCAATGATACTCGCTCTAAGAATAGTACTTAACTACAGACGACATCTATACAAAAAATATCAAAACTTAATTCTTCATTTTTTTGCTCAAAGTACTCATTTTTCACATTTGATTTCAGAATCAACCGAAGGAGCTCTGTCCTGAGAACTTAAAGAGCGAATATTTTTCTATAGAGAGTATATTGTTTAATTGAATTATGGATTTATCGCAGTACAATATGAACATCGTAACGCACCTCTCTAGCTTTGACAGTCATCATTAATAGAATAGCACGTTTCTCGTAAAATGTGAACTTCGTCACAATTTATCATCTCTACTCGGATATTGTACTCTTTCATTTCATCAGAAATATATTTCATTTTTGGATAGTTAAAATTATATACTATGATGTTCAGCTTGATTAACAATGCATTCTCTCATACATCTTTGATTTTTGAAGGAAAAATAGTATTGTGTTCTAACGCTACCCCGTTATCCCTAGTAAAATCGATCCCGTCTCTAAAAGGTACAAGATAGAAATCTGCACCTTGCATAGTACTATGGAGGATATATCAAGATCGGATGTTCGAAAAAAATTTTTGGGGTCTTCTTAATGCACGCTTTATTCTAGATGAGATTTTTCTTTTAATCAAAAATAGAACATATTCATCAAAGAAAGAAATTGAAACAAGTCTTATACTGTCATATTAAAAATTTTTGCGAATTTCTTTATATGTCTATCTTCTTTCAAATGTATTATAGCGTTTATACGAAAAACTTTACGCTTTTATGAGTATTTTCATGATTTAGTTTGTTCAAAGTTTTGTTTTTATTAAAGACAACATTCATGGCTAATGAAAACAAAATGCATCAACAGTCAAGAATTGAGAAAATTAATGTCTAATCATCCAGTACGATTGACTATATACGTTTTGTCATGACAACGTTTAGTCTCACGGATCGATTAAGATTTACATGAAACTATTTACTTCAATCATCAATAGCTCAATCAAGTCTATGAATAATGCCACCTACAATTATGAAGTCAGTAGCAAGCGAATAAATTCTACTGAACATGGATTAGTCGAACATTCTGTTATTGATCTTAATACCTGACGTTTTCCATTTTGAGCTAATAAAAATATGTATGTAAACGGCAATCGAAATATAGTATTCCAATTCTTGTATATAAAGAAATGACGTTTAGAAAAGCAGAATTTATCAGACCTATTTTCTATTATAAGATAGATAATCAGGAGTACTCGTAAGACGCTGTAAATGCTAATGATTTATGTGAAAGGTCTTTTATATAGAAAAATCAGCTGTGATTCCAGCGGAGGATAACAAATACATGAGATCAGTCGATTGGTTTATATTTACTGCGTGATTAATAACGAAGAATATGGCTGTTATTCACCAGTTTAGTTATTCTCTCGTCTGATAACAGACATATTGATAAGACTTTTAGATGCTGGTATTGATCTTATCATAAAATTAGTAAAGATAAAGATAAATATTATGCTGTATCATTGATTGGAAAAAATATTGAATCAATTTAAAAAACAGACTTACTTATTTCTTATTTTCTCATAAATTTACTAGATCTTCAACAAAAAACTGTTCCATTTTTCTCGCTAATATTATGACATGCATACTACGTAATAACATATGGAACATTGAAATTCTTAGACAAACTTTTTTTTGACCTTATACAAAATTCCTTCAAAGCACAGAATCAAATTTATAAAAATTAAAACTGTAAAACACGTTCGAGTTTTTGTTGCTCTCTTAAATTATATCATTGAAGAGAAGAACTGGAATGACTATTTTCAATATGAAATAACTCTTAGCAATAATTCCTTAAGAGTAATCACGTTAAAAGGATATACTTGAATGGATCACTTTTTGCTTAATTATTTATTCACTTCCAATGTAGAACATTCAAGATAGATAACGACGTTCAATATTGCTACTTATTTTGCTAATTGTCAAACATTCTACACATTCAGATGTTCATTGTTGATCTATCAAGACACTATGACGTGTATTGTGAATTAAGATTTTTTAAGTTTTAAGTGATGTTTTGACGTCTTTTTTTACGAAAATTGCATATCATAGATCTCGAAAGTAAATCAATTGTTAATGCGTCATGGCTGTAATACTTTTATATTAGACAAACTCTTTTAGTATCTAAGAATTCAGTTTTCATTTTATGTTCCTTCCGGTCAGTCTATGTTTCATATGCCGAGATACAAGACAAATAGTGTTTTTCTTTTTTGTCAATGCAAGAAGATTTTATTGTACATCACAATAAATTTTGTTTTTCAATTTTTTTTTTGTATAAAGAAATAGCGATTCTTGTTAGCTTTATAAACACTTCAATTTTTCCTTAACATAATTTCCAACATTTTTTGCAATATAAAAAAAATCCACTATGACTATGTATTTAGAAAGATAAGCATTTAATAAGTTGATATTTTATATGACGTCATAGAAGATAACAAATGATGTAAATGTATTATTATATTATCTCTTGATAAGTTTTTCACATTATTTATTCAATAACAAAGATTTGTACTCTAATATCATTATTTGATTTTTCGTTTTCAAGTTGATAATTTTTGCTTGTTTGATTTGCAAAAAATAAATAATTTCCATTAAGAACTTTTACACATACAAAATTGTCATCATAAACTGTTCATAAATGATTAACTTGAAAAGCAAAGTTGCGTATTTAAATCATATTTTGTACGAAAAAGTAAACACAAAACAATACATTTAATTAATTATTAATAATTGCGAACAAATACTTTCGATCATATTTGTAACCGTATCTACAAATAATCTTTTATGATATATGCTTGTACTATATTAAGACATCATCGAATGACTTTGAGAGTATACATTCAGAAAAAAATATACTACTATACTCGTTTCATTTGCATATATTTAATCAGTGAACTACAGAATAAAAGTTTCTTTTCTTTGACTCATAAAGTACATTTACTTACCTTTTTATATTGTTTTTTTTAAGAAATACATGAGAAAGAAAAGAAAAGAAACTGCTTAATAGTTTGTAATCAATTATAAATCCTTAGCCGCGATTTACAAATGCTTTTAAATACGTTTTGGATATATTTATATTGCTAATTCTAAGATATACTACATCATTGGCTTCTTTATTGTACTCATTTAAACATCTTATTCTCTTAATTAGAAATGCATGAATACCAATTCTAAACATTACCTATTCCAGTTTTTAGCTTAAAATTAATTAGAATTGGTCTTGAAAAAAATTGAGATTATGCAAAATCAGTAATTCCACAACAGACAATTCTAATCAAGTCCTAGAATTGGAATTGATATACTCCTATTCTTGTTGTATGCATTCTAAATAACCTATTGTTGAAGTAATAAATATATCACAATGAAGGCAATTGATTGTGTATCTGAGAATATACGAATAAGAAAACGAGTCATTACAAATATGATTTAAAAACTTGGTTACCTTTATTTTATTTATCTATATGTCAGCCTATGCAATTGATAGCTGTGATTGTTTTTTTTTTCGATTGATATTTCTATTTATAGAATATCTTTTTTTTTCTTCGCATCATCATTTCTTGCTTTTCTTAATTATATATTAAAAATCGAGTGTGAAAAATGTATCACAACTACATAAAGAGCAAACAATCGAGAAAAAAAAAAAGATAGTTTACACAAGCAGAAAAAGAAAAACAAACAGCACTAAATTGGGTAAAGAAGTTGAAAGAAAAAAAAACTAATGTTAGAGTTATTATGATTGCAAGTTCTAAAATTAATAATACCAAAATAAATATTATTAATCAACAGTGTTTGCAATACGACCCAATTCGCTGTCTAGAATACAGAACAAAAAATTATTTAGAATTGATAGAAGTAAACAAAAAAAACTACGAACCATATAAATTGGGTGATTCAGACACGATACTAGATGCATCAACATCAGAGGTTGTTGATAGAACTGAATCAGCTTTTGATACATCATGTCCATTGATTGCTATTTCTGACGATGTTGGAATCTCAGAAGTTGACGATGCTAAATAAATTTAATTTCTAATGGAAATTCTTGTTCATATATATATATATACAAACCATTCACATTAACAGATGGATCATCTTCGACTGAGGTAGTTGAAGAGGTAACTATTGTTGTTGGTGGTGGTGGTGTCGGAACAGATGATGTTGAAGCTGTTGTTGCAGATTTTGATAATTTTTTAATTGTTCCTTGTAAATCAGATCGTTCTTGTTGTAAAGCTCGACTTAATTTATCAAGTTTATCAAGTTTAATTTCTAATTGTCGTTTTTCTTTTTCCAAAAGTTTAAACTTAAATAGAAAAAAAATAAAACTTTAAATAGAAAAGAAATAAAAATTTTCATACATCTTCATTTGCTTTTCTTTGATTTTGTTCGGCAACTTCCCATCGATGTCGAAAATCACTTCGTTCTTTTTCTAATTTTTTAATTTTTTTTCCCATTTTTTCTATTTCACCATGACATGATGTTACCATTTGACTGCTTTGTTGTATAGCATTTTGAAATTCTTGATAACGTTCAGAATACATTTGTACTTGAGAACGAAGACTTAATTCAGACGCAGCTAATTCTTCACATTTTTTATATAAAACTAAACGTTCAGCTTCACTCTTTTATATGAACAAAATCAAAAAAAAAACAAATTGAATTTTGAATAAGAAATTTTTGAATTTTGAAAACTTACGACTTGTCGTTCTTGTTTAATTAATTCAGTTCGTTCTTCAAGTAAAGTATGACTTTGTTCTAAACTAGCTTCAGTTAAACGTAATTCCAATTCTCTTTTCTTTAATGCTGCTTCAACTTCCTAAAATAATTTCAAAATTAATTTTTCTCAAAAATAATAATAAAAAATGTTACTTTTTCACGTAATTCATATTTTTTAACAACAGATGTTAATTCTTCGGATAATTGCATATTTTGTTCACGTAATGAAGTCGATTTTTCACTATAATTCGATAATTGTGAAGCTATTTCATCAATAGTTGTCTAAAAGAAATCAACAATAACAAACAAACAAAAAAAAAATAAAAACAAGAATTGAAACCTGAAATTTTGTTGCTAATTCTCGACGTTTTGTTTCCTCATCACGTTGTCGTTGAGCACTCTCATCCTAACAAAAAAGAAAAAAAGAATTAAAAATAGATTTCTTAAGATAACTTACACGTATTTGTTGACTATGTCGATGAAGTTCACGACAAAGACTTTCTAATTTTGCTTTAGCTGCTACAATACGACCATTTTCAAGTAAAGCTTGATCACGTTCACGCATTAATATTGTTAGTCGTTTTTCTGATTCATTCGCTTTTGCTTGTGTTAATCGTTGTTGTTCTTGAAATTCAGCTATTTTTGTTGCTAATGTTAATAAATTTTTTTGTGGATCTGAATCTGTTAAACTTTTTACAATATTTTCTAAAATATAAATATATATTTAAAAAAGAAAACAAAAAGACAAAGAATATTAAATAAACATACTAGCAGCTTTAGTAATATTGCGACGTGATTCAGATTCATTGTTCGTTGTTGTTGAAGAAGCAGCATTAGTTGCTGCTGCTGCTGTTATTGTTGATGTTTTACCATTATTTGGTTTAGTTTCTTTTGAAGTAGCAGCTAAAGATAAAATTTATTTGAATAAAATGAATATTTTATATATTTAAAATACCTAATGTTTCTAATTTTTTAACAAGTTTAGCACCAATTGCTGTTTGTCCTGATGTACGAGTTGTAGTTGTTGATGATGATTTTGTTTGGGATTCATCCGTATTTGTATCTTCACATGCAGTTGAAAGATTAATTGAATCAATTATTTGTGACAGTTGTTCATCAGATGATATTTGATTTGTATCAAATGAAAGATTTTCATCATTCATAACATCATTTGTTGATTCAGATTCAATATTTGTTGTTAAGGTAGTCATTCGAAATTATTTTTCAATGAATAATTGAAAAGATAAAACCAAAAAAAAAATAGACAAAAAATGAGAAATCTGAAACGAAGACAAAACAAAAAAGATGTATCTATACATCAATGGTTGATAGTTATACAATAGATTTATTCTGTTCTTTACTTCTTATTATGTTCGATAATTTCGGCATATGGAAGTTTCCTAATATAGAACGGAAGAAAAGTCATGGTTACATTTTCTTTTTCTCTTTCTCTTTCTTTTTCTGTTCTTGCTTCCAACCAGAAATTGTCCAATGTCCAGTAATTCATGAAATTTATTTCTTTCATTTGTTGTAACAGAATGTTTATTTTGAGGATATAAAGATGTCGCTAACGTGAAGACATATTGAAATACGTTTTCATTGAATTGAATCTTATTTTTACATGTGACGATATATAATGAAAATAATATTATATGAAAAGTAATAATTATTTCGTAATTAAGCGACCTCTATTGACAAGTCATTAGAAAGTAAAGTTCGTTTTTTGCTAAGAATTCTCTGTTAAATAAGTTTAAGACAAAGTAACATTATCAATATATTATTTCAGGCGCTAATGGAGTAGGAGCACACGTGATTTTTCTAGCAAACTAATTAAGAGATCGACATGAATTTACTTTTTTTTTTTGAAAATAACAATACTAGCTAAATTTTCGTTTTGCAGAAAATCACCGATTTCTTCTAAAATTGATTTTGGTGTTGAATTGTTGGCTTTTCCTTTCTTTTTTTTGAATCAATGATTGGAGTCAACGTTATCCAATTTTCGAGTCCGAGTCATGATTCGGACACATTCAGTTCTGAAAACTCGATTCATTTCTATTCATTCATTCAATTCAAAGACAAATTCAATACTGTCCAAAGATGTACTCATATATCTGATGCAATAGTTTTATGATCGAAACAAGAAAATCTTCTAACTATTTTGATGAAAAGAAAAAGATTATGATCTACTATACCCATATATTTTGATACGATCAATAAAAAAAAGGAAATAAGTATTCAAATGACGCGCTTATTGTTATTTATTTTTCGTATCGAATGAAAGAAAAAGTTCATTGATGTTGTTTTAATATATTTCTTTAAATTTATCGATGTGCTTCCGCACATGTGAAGCGTTCGATGTCCACTGGCTTTAATCTTATTCTATTTGTCATATGTATTTTTTTGCTAATACGAACTAATCAAGGATTACATTATCATCGTTCTCAAATTTCTCGAAAATATCGTCATATTTCATTATATAATGATAGTCATATCAATTCATCATTGGAATCATCAACAAAAATCGAATCAAATCTATTCTTTCAAAATGAACCTATACCACTGGCTTCATCAATCGTTGATGATCTTACAACTCTTGCATCAGCCGTTTATATAATCTCTCTTATCATTATTATATTTGTTCTTCTTGCTTGGATAACTCATTACAATGCTCCATGTTCATCAATTATTGCATCTATTTTAAGTACTATTACTGGTTTACCTGAACCAATTATTCATTCAGTTGCTCTTTGTGGTTCTTGTTGTATGTGGTGTGAAAGAACATGGTTATTTCGTCGTATTCATCAGTTTAATATGTGGATATCATTGAAGATTCAACAATTCATATCAGGTACATGTAAAGTTTTGTATGACACAATTTGTCCTTGTTGTCGACCACCTGATACACCATCGAATCGATCTATAATTGGTAAATTCGAGAATTGTATTATATTGAAATTATTTAAGCTTTATTCTACAAGGATCATTACCGACTGGTATCATTGCAATGGTCCAAGTACCTGATACTCCTAATCCATCATCACCTAAAACTTTTGTGACAGGTGAAAATTAGTTTGATCTTTTCGTATTCAAATTATTTTCTTCATTTATAGTTGTAAAACCTACTTCTACATCATCAAAACCTTTGACTGTTAATGTTGATTTATATTCTCAACCAACAACTGAATCTTTAATCGAAAATCAAGATTATTTACCTTCTAAAGTTATAACAATTGAGACGAAAACAAACACTAATCAAATATATGAAAATACATCAACATATAAAAAACGTCGTAAACAACCACGAAAACAAACTCAGTTAAAGCAACAAACAGCGATTGGTGCATCACCATACACTGATGAACAGACTGATAATACTAGTGAAGATGAAGATGCTGATGAAGAAGAGGAAGAAGGAAATACTAAAATTTATTGAAAACGTTCTTTAGCTTCTTTACGTTCTTGCCAAATAGTAGCACCGGAGCAAGTACAAAGACGTTTTGTATTCTCAAAAAGACCGGCTGATCGAGCTATAATACCACAGGCAACACGTCTAAATTTGAAAATGAAATTTATTTTTCTTTTCAGATAACAATATAAATATGAGAGGAATTTACTGAGAATCAGAATTTTGTATAACAAATGATCGTCCAATAATATCTGGTACTCGAATTCGACGATTGAGTAGACGAAAATCAGCAGTACCATGTTCATCAGCCATTACTTGACCAAGAATGCCAGTTAATTCACCGGAATTTTTTTGCGAAGATGAGTTATTTGAATCATAATAATTACCACAACTAAACAAAAATCATAATAATAATAATAATACTAAATATATTCATTCTTGTATTTGCTACATATGATCTATACCTATCACATCCATCGGAAATATCACCATATTCGTGTATATTGATGCGAGCTTGAGTATTAGGTAAAAGTCCATCAACAGTTCCTTCAACAATACATTGTTCGTCATCGGTTTGAATAAATCGAACTAAACCACGAGTACGACGTTCAAATGGTTGATTCATATTACTATAAAGTGCTGAAACAGCAGCACCTAAAGGTTTTCCTGTATATTAAATAAAAGTAGAAAAACAAAATGAGTCAAAAATTATCTCTCACCAGCGCCTAATAGTACAGCATTAGTATCAAGCGATTGTTCAATTAATTTTTGAATTTTTGACGATTGTAATGTTGTATTAAGAACTAATCTTTTTGATGATAGATCAATATTGAAATTTTCAATATCTAGAGTATATTTATTCAGCAATTTCATCGAACATGATAAATAATTTTTCACATACCTTTTCGATTGGCTAATAATTTTTGTAATTGATCAACTTGTTCTTGTCGATTTATATCAACAACAAACTCGAGCTAAATAATCAAAAGAAAAACAAATACATCATTACTATTCAAAATGATTCAATTCAAATTCTTCACCTTTGTGCTAATCGATGGTGCTGTCTCAGTCATTTCTATTCTACAATAACACAAAGCATATATATATATATATATAATTTCTATTATAAGTAATAAATTCTATATTGAATGTCCGCAAATAGAAGAACAATATTATATTAGTGACGTAACCAGACGAGAACTAGAGGAGACTCAGCCCTCTCTCTCTCACCAACACTTTAGTTTTATTTAAATATGGGGCTTTAGCTACCTCTTAAAATATTACTAGAGGGTCTCCATTCTACCTCTACAGATATGATCAGGAGTCTGAGTCCTCCACAACTTTTTTTTCTGGTTACAGCACTACATTATATAACAAATTTATGATACATAAGAAGAAATAAATATTATGAGCTATTACAGAAAACAAATATATAACAATGATTATAATAATATATACAAAAAGAAGAAAAAATGAATATGAATTAATTTTGTTCATTTATTTATCTATGGGTGTTGTTAATGTTGGCGGTTGTTTACGTGCTGTACGTTGTTTTTCAAAACGATTTTCCATTTCAATTAAAACTTGTGGTGAATATCGTACAACTAATTTTACAGTATTTTGTGCTTGTTTTAGTAATTCAACTGCTTTTTCATGATATTCGCTTTCAACAGATACACCATTAACTGATAATAATTGATCACCTTTTTTTAATCCACCATGTTTCGAAGCAACACCATTTGGAATGATACGTGATATATAAATTGGTGAATTTTGTTCACGTCCACCCATTACATTAAATCCAAGACCTTCTTGAGTTTTAGGTAATTCAATAACACGCGGATGTGAATGACCTTCACTAGCTGCAAAAGCAGCAACCTAAATTTAAAAATTTATATTATTATTCAATTGAAGAACAAAAAACAAAAAGTATCTTTTCAAATACTAACAGTTGCTTTAGCTGTAGCATTAGCTCGAACTTCTGGTGAGCCAGTTACTTGAACAGTTTCATAAATTTTTTCATAAACTTCCAAAACAGCATGAAAAAAATCACTTTGTAATATACGTTGTAATTCAAGTAATTTTGTTTCAGGTATTTCACTTGTTGTACGAAGACGATCAAGAAGAACAATTGCACGTTCAATATCTTTTTCTAAATTAAGTGATGATTCACTTGCTACAGTAGACATTATCTAAAATAGAAACAAAACAAAACAAAACAAAAAACCAAAAGAATAAATCAAAAGACAATTAACCAAATAAAATAAGAAATATAATCGTTACAATATTAAAAGCAATCAACGGAACTACAAATAAAAATAAGAAAAAAAAATAGAATTGATAAGAGAAAAAAGAAATAAATTTTACCTCTCATGACAGTTCGAACAGATCGAATTAGATTCAATAACTGTTGTTTTGTTCCACCGACATTTTGATAATCATCAACATAGCCTCCTACGCCAGGATAACCTTGACGATTTCCACCGCCACCACCACCACTTACTACAACAATAATATATAAAAATTAATCTTAAGAAAAGAATATATTTACATCTTGAAAGAAATCGTTGTTCATTAAGAATAGCTATAGCATTAACGCAAAGAAGAGCAGCTTCAATAAGACTATACAATGTAAATCCCATATTTAGTCGTTGAGTTGAATTTTTTTTTCTAATCTAAAAAGCGTGACGTAAATAATTTTGATTGAATGAAATTACAAAAAGATTTTTTTTTTATTAGAATGTGAACGAATTAATATAAATACAATGATAAATTTGTGCTTTCTTTTTCTCTGTAACTTATATCCAATCTAATAGCATCAATAAAAAAAATCATTCAAGCATAATCAAAAAAAAAAAAAAAAAAGAAATGAAAATCAAACATTCTTTAATGTTTTGCATTCGTTTGTCCATTAACAATTTTATTTTGTATTGTTGCATTTGGATGTAAAGCTTTCTTAATTATTTGTTCATATTTACTTAAATCAAAATTTCCACTTTCACTTGCTGGAAAACTTCGATGTTTTAATTGTAATAAATGTATATAATCTTGTTCAGTATATTCAGGTCCATGTTCTTCAATAACAGCAATAATTTCATCTGGTTTTGTTGCATATAATAATTCATAAAAACGATGTGCACGCATTAATTCAGCATCACCAACTGTTCGAATTTGTGTTAATGTTTGTTCAATAGCAAATATATTTCGACACATTTTAGTTACACCTGATTCACTTATACGTACAAAACGTGGTGCTGAACGAATTAATATTGTTGCTAAAACAAATCCAAGACCTTGAAATAAAAATGAAAATTTTTTTTCATTTAATGATGAATGTAATGTTTCTTGTAAACGTGTTAAATCACGATTTAATGTCATTATATTTTCATCAGGATCTGTATCAATAACAGATGAATAATGTGATGCATTACGAAATAATAATGATAAATGATAAAAACAATGAAGACGTATTTCAAGAAATAAAACAAGTAATATATCATATGATAATGTTAATGTTGTTTTCATTGCATTTGAAAATATTTCTAAATTAACACGAGATAATTTTAATTGATCATATTGATGATGATTTTGTTTTAATGAACGTGATGTATAACCAGATGTGACTAAAATAAATATGATAAATATTTATCAACAAATTTTTAAAATAAAAACTAAAGAATCCTAAGAAAAGTTTTTTTCTCTATCAAGGAAAATTATATTATCGATGGAGATTATATAGTTGATTTATAAGTGTTAATTGTTTATTAGAATAATTCAGCGGATGTTTATGCCATTCATAGATTGTCTAAAGAGTGATCCAAAATTTTTGACTTCTCTCTATAAATTGATTTTATCTATACAAAATACATGTTTGTAAAAAAAAGAGAAAAACATTCTTGTAATATCTGAGTAATTAAAATTGAGTGAAATATTCATTTCTGGATATTTTTACATGATTCGACAAGTTCTACAAGAATATGAATATCAAAAAAAAAACTTTGGATCGTGTTTCCAATACAACATATGGAGGAAACCAGATAGACTAATAAAAATCTCACATATGTTACACAAGAGAGAGTAGACAAAATTAGTCGATCGACCGATAATTGTTCAACTAAAATTATTAAAAGTTCAGATTACTCCCTCTCTCTAATGCCGAATATGTGAAATTTTTATTAGTCTTTCTGGTTTTCTCCAAGTTTTGTACTGGAAACCAGATCTGAATTTTTGTAATATTCATATTTTTGTAGAGTTTGTCAAACTCTGTCAAACCATATAAAAATATCTAGAAAATAATATTTCGTTTCGGACGTTACAAGCATATTTTATTTTTGCAAAAACAAAAAATAAAAGATGTAAAATGCTTAGTCGTAATTAATAAAACAACCATAACTTTTCATAATGTCGATGCAATTTGAACTATTTTCTTTTCAGATCATAGGTTTTGGTATTTTTCTACAAAACTATGTATTTCAATCAACTACTAATACAAGTATTCATTTAGATAACGTTAATTTACAGACAGAAGTCGAAACTTTTGGGCCACTCTTTAGTTTGTAATAAAGAACAGTTTTAACTCAGTATTATTTTAGACTAACATTTTTCTTACATTTCGTTTAAAAAAAATTCATCTCTCTAGCAGTATCCACCATCTAGAAATCGGACACTGTCACATACGACCTCACTGAATGGGATTGCAAAGACAGACATATAGAATTCCGATGTAGATACTCAAAAATAAAATCTCTCTCTTGATTTCTTTGAATTTCCAATTTCTGGATGGTGGATAAATCTGAGAATACTTTAGTACTAATTAAGTGTTCTAAGATTTTAATTAAGCGTAAAGCGAACGAATATTTCATCTCATATCATTTGTAATAATGCTTATTAACTTAAAGCAATTGTTTACTAACTGTAATGTAGTTAAATGTCAGAATTATACACCAAGTTCTTCAATATTAATTATGACAGTATTAAAACTGTTTTTGTTTTTCTGTTCTACATGCTGTTTTCATTAGAAGAAATAATAAAAAGTTACCTCAAAATATGCCATGAGACATTCAAGCCTCAATAAAATAAAATACTAAAATATAAAACTTCGCGATATTGAATATTTAAACTTATTTTAGAATTTATATTGTTTGTAAAATTAAATTTTATATTTTACCTGTTGTTTGTGTTAATGCATCAAGATATTTAGTATCATTTAAACATTTATCTAATATATCAAAATAATATGATAATTTACAATATAACCAATCAAGACTTTCATGAATATTAGCTAATAATTTAATATGTTTATAATTTGTACAAATATCATCTAAATTCATTTCATTTTGACTAAAATTAATTAATAAAGTTTCAGTTTCTTTTGTTTGACGAAAACGTATATTATCAGCATTATCATCTTGATTATCATTATTTGTTGAATGTTGTTGTTTAGCCATACGTATAAATGCATCAAATGCTGGCATTGTACGTAAATGACGATTTATATCTAAATCTTTAACCCATTCATTCGAATAAATTGATGTACCTGGTGAATCATTTCGTTCAACAATTGATAAAAATAATTTATTAGATGATTCACGATGTTTAAATAAAAGATCAATAATAGCTTGACAAAAATCATCTGCATATGGTGGAAGACATTTAACTAATGCACATAATTCTTCACATGATTTAAATATTGAATAAGTTGATTGAAGAATTGGTATTGGTAATTGAAGTTGTTTTTGTAAAACAACTGGTACTAATTCAGCAAGACGATTTTGATCAGCTGTTGTTGATGATGATGATAATTGAGCTGATTCACGAATATCTTTTATTACACGACCAATAAAACGATCACGAATAAATTCAGTTAATTTTCTGAATAAAACGAAGAAAAAAAGAGGTTTAAAAAATTTTTAAAATAATGGAAAGTTCCACAAAATGACTAATCCCAAAAAAAATATTTTGATATAAAAAAAAGCACTAAAGTTAGGGAATGGTAAGCAGAGAAGATAAAAAGTAAACTATAAGAATGTTTTAAACCTAATCTAGTATTTTTATCCTAGAATAAGTTAAATTAAGCATAATTTTAATGTCACCATACCAAAATACTCTTATTATTGACGAAAAAAAATTTTCAATAATTTTACTAAAAGAAAAATGATCCATTCCTATTCACTCTTTCTTCAAGATTAAAAGATGAATAAATAAATAACTGATTCGAAACAAGTGCACAGGTGATCTAGAAGAAACGTTGAAATCTTATGCCTTCTCCTTTCTAGAGAACAACTTATCTAATAAATTTGAAGCTTTCAGAATAGATAGATTTCTATGAGTGAAGTAAAGTTACCATAGACTCGAAATTCTTGAATACATCCATAATAGGACAAGCCAAGGTAACAAGAGTTAAAAATGTTCCCTCTTATCGGTGTCCTTACTCAGCTACAATACTTCTCATAGAGCTAAAAATATTTTTGCAGATATCAAGCACTGTTTGGAATCCTCATGGAAGAACATCTGTAAGTGTCAAATCGCTTTTGAGTCGGGACTACGTACATCATGTAGATCTTAATAAGCTATGAGTACTCTAAATCGAGTTCGAGCCAATAACTTATTGTTGCCAAGATATTGTATTTTTACTATATTTTTAGTAGAGTGCTATGGCCCACTCAAGAACGCCATGAAAACTGAACTTCAAATTTCGCAGAGAGATAGGTCTTAATGAGAATAACTTATTGTAAAAATTTTAGAAACAATCAAAAGATCTGAAACTTTTACAATAAACTATTTCCATGAAGACTTCTCTTTATGTAAAGTTTCAAATCGAAATTCGAAACTCAGTTTTCCTGATGTACCTAAAGAGGGAAGGTACGGTATTCTTCTAAACAAATATGATAAAAATAGAATATTTCGGCAGCAATAAATTATTATCCTGAGTCCTCTTGAGAGTATTCTCTCGTTAGTATTTTTTGTTTCCTTGTATCTCATTCTATTCGAAAAAAAACATTAAAATCTTGAGAAAACTCTCAGAAATGCATGATTTTTCGAGTAAAGTGTTTTTTTAACGTTGATAGAAATAAGTGATGCATCACATTCTAGGAAAAAAGATAGCCTAGACACCCTAAATATTTACTAGTATTAGTAGAAAGACATTTCAGCTTGACTGGACTTACTGTGCTTGAGAAGTGGGAGCGATTCTACATTTTCTTTTTTTTCGCCGAAAAATCATTTTTCAGCAAAACTATTCTATCACAGATCTTTTCATCTTTACAATTTTAGATTAATCCTTGAAATATGTCCAGTAAATAGAGGACAGTTCGAACCGAATATGAAGCAAAAAAAAAACAAGATTATAATATTTGAAAATTTTGAATTATGATAGGAGCGATGGTTTCCTGTAAGGTGCCACCGACAAATTAAGCAAGGTGATAGTTGTATACAAACTATAGTTGATCAAGTTGCTCCATCAATAAATGATGCACAGATCAATGGTATTCAAATATATCAAAACAATATGGAAGCTTTGTAAGAATACTTAATTTTTACGTTTCGTATACTTTATTGATTCTCTATTAGAGATCGTAAAGTCCACTCTAGATCTGAATGGTGTTCCGAGAGGATTTGAATTAATAAATTTTTCTTTGTTGAATAGGTTCAGTTTCTTAATTTTAACAATGATTTGAAATTAAATCATAATGATATCTTATGTGTAGTTTACTGAAAAATTCCTGTATTGAAGACGCATACTAGTCATCAAAATTTTATTAATCTAACCTGTCAAGAATACGCTTAGTTGAATGTAATTGAACACTTGCATCAATATCTTCAATAATTCGTTGAAGAATATCATGTACAGCTGTTATATTTCGATAATTTGGTTTGCATACATATTGCTTATAAGCTGTTGCAATGGCTGCTGTTGGTGTTTCTTGTTTAATAGCAAATCGATTTTGTTCTTGTAAATACGATGTCATTGAATTAAATTGTGCTGATTGAGAAAATTCAAAAAGACGTGAAATTTGTTGTGAACGTGGAGGAGCTTTTTTTGTTAAATATTGTGAAAAATCAACAACAGAATGACGATTTGAATAATCTGTTGAACTTGATGTTAAAGAAGAATTAGGTGATGATGTATCAAGTGCATTATTATATTCAATATATTCATTTAATACTTCACTAAGAACTTGTTGAAGAGTTTCCCAAACGAGTTCAATAGAAAATAAATATGGAATTTCAAATTGTATTGGAATAGGAATTGATGGCCGTTGTTCAGATTTAACATCTTAATAAAAATAAAAAAAAGATAGAAATTTTTTTCCCTTATGAAGAATGTAGTTCCTACGCATAGTTTTTATTAACCATGATTGCTCTAACTGAAGCTGTAGTCAGAATTCGCATGTTTTAGTTATTTTTTTATTTGGCCGATCCAACTAACTTTGAGACCTATGTTTTGCAGAAGACAAATCCTAAGAATAGCTTCGAGTTTGTCTTATGCGAAACACAAGCCTCAAAATCAGTTGAAACTAATCGAAAAAAAAACTTTAAAAAATGCGAAAGTTCGACTTATTCCGAAACCTTTGTTTTGTATGTTGAATAGAGCAAAAAAAACTGATCATAGTTGATATAAACAATTCACAAGAACTATATTCTTAATAAGAGAAAAAAAAATGTCATTGTTGACATCATGTTCTAGGAATTGATGCATTCCCATTTGTTTCCTATAGCACAATAAACAAAAAACAAACGATTTACTTCGTTGATTTTCTGCTGTTTGTATTCCAATATATTCTTGTTGTCGAATTTGTATAGGTGCTTGATGTTCTTGTATTAATTTTAAAACATTTAATAAATATTCAATATTTTTAACAACAAGTTTAAATTGTTCATAACATGTTTCTAGTAAATCTCTTAAACAATCAGGATTATTTACCATAAGATTTTGATGAGAATTACTTGAATGTAAAACAAAATTATTATCAACAATATGTTGTGTTGTACGTAAAACAATTCGATGAAATTGTTCATGTAATTGTTTTTGTAAATAATCAAGTGTTTCATTTAAACGTGATAATATTGATAATGATTGTAATAAAACATCAAAATATAAATCTGGTGTTTGTTGACGTATATCAACTAACATATATTTATCAGGTATAATAGCTAATGAATGAGATTCAAATAATAATTTTCCTGATTCAAAATCTTGATCAAGTTGTTTTCTTAAAAGACGATTTTCACGTATACGTGATAAATAATTATGATCATTTTTATTTGTTGTTGATGTTGAATTTGTTGATGATGAAACATTTTTATTTCCAAGTATATCACGACATGGTTTTTCAAATAATTGATTTATTAATTCTAAACGTAATTGATGTTCTAATGATACACGTTCATCTTTTAATTGTATATCAATATCAGATAATGCATTTATTAAACGTAATTCTTGATGTTCTTTTGCTTTTAATAATAATAATGATGCATGAATATATAAATGTTTATTTAAATAAAATTGTAAACGTATAGGTACATGTTTTAATTCATCAATATTTTGATAAATTTTAACTAAAGCATTTTGTTCCGATGTTAATGACCATAATTTACGTATATCTTGTCGTTTTAATAATAATAAATTTTTACATTCACGTAAACGTTCACGAACATTTTGAACACGATTTTTTGATTGTTCAATTGATGTATATATATCAGAAAAATTTGTTATTAATTCTGTTAAATCAGTTGCAGATGATTTTATAGAACGATCAATATTTGTATTTGAACGTTGAAAACGTTCATTTACAAAACGACGTTGTTGTTCACGAGCCTATTTCAGCGGAAAAAAAAACCAAATTATATAACAAAAAAAAGGACAAGTAAAATAATACTTCAGTATTTGTATTTAAATTTAAATCACGAATTATTTTCATTAAAATGAACGTCGTTGATTGACGCTCCATTTTATTCGATTTATTTTCTTGATTAAATAAGATTAATTATATCTTTACGAGAAACAAACACACCTATAATCTAAATCAAATATATGAAGACGATAAATAATTCGTTTCGTTATTCTCATTGGTGCATTTTAGTACAATGACATTTTATATAAAGTCCTCTATAGAACAAAGAAAATGTTGCCCTTTTCGTTATTAAAGATTTGTAGTTAAATAACGCATTTGTAATTTGTAAAATGTCAAAAAAAAACTAATGACTCATGTTTTCTATAATAGATTCGAGAGTGACTAATAATATATCAAATGATTTTCAATGATATTTTGAATCGAATCTACTATGTATAGTTCAAAAGGAATTTTCCAGGAATCTATACAAAACGATTTAGTTTTCGATAGTACTGTCCTCTATATTTTTTGTGTTATTAGTTCGACAACTAAACGACAGAATTTTTTAAATTAGTTGCCATTATTCATTATTGCATTGTAGTCCCTTTGTTAACTAAGGGAATAATCATCTCAGTGACGCGCATCTTAAAAAAAAAGAAAAGCATTACCGGTTCATCTGCACTTCAGTGAAGCCTTCACACATAGGTAGTAGAATCACAAGGCTTGAGTAGGCTCAAATATTTGTTTCTCGTTTCATCAGATTGATGGATTTATGCAATGAATCGAAATTCTTATTCAAGTGTCAAAACTTTTCCATCAACTTCAGCTGAAAATAGTAACATTTTCGTAGTGAAGCAGATTTAGAAAATGTGCTTGAAGAAACATTGAATTTTCCATTACTAAATGTTGAATTCTATATTGCCAATGACTTGAAATGATCGGAAAGGCTCTGCTTATTTTTTGAACTTTGTTCAATATTTGTTGTATTTCATCTAATATATAATCTGTAATAATGATGTCTAAAATCAACGGTAGACATTTCTAAACATTGTAGACATTGAAAATAGTAGATATTTTTTATAATCTAGTTATCAACGAAAAATGTTCACAAGATTATAAGAGACTTTGAAGTCTAAACATGATTAGATTTGTGAATCTGCATGAAATGATTCACCTGAATAACGTTGAAAATCAAAGCATCGAAAATAAAAAAATGTCTCGAACAACAATAAGACATGTCAAAAGGTAGAAAAGTGGAAAATGAAAGTAGATGGACGTGAAGATCTCCTTCAGCCTCACTCTCACTCAAGGGGGAAACGGCGTACTCCCGTACTCCGGAGTACCGGGAGTACAACAGGAGTACATAGAATGTAATACGAAATGGGCTTAGTAATTATTGAAAAACAGACTTGAAATTTTTGTGAAACACGATCTAAAAGGAGTGTTGACACGAAGGAAAAAGCAGATTGTCGGATCCCGGAACTCTATGGATCCTCCGGATCGTCATAGGATCCTCTAGATTCCCGATACGAATATTTCCTTGATTGTAGTTAGGGTCCTAATCCAGAATTTGAATGTTTTTGTATGCTTATATTTCTCTACATGGTATTACTTTGAACCTATCTCAGAACAAAACAAATTCTTAGGATATCCTAGGTCCTCAATCCCTGTATTTTGGAGATATCCCTAGGTCGTCAAGTCCTATATTTTGTAGGTACCCTTAGGCCCTCAAGTCCTATTGTATAGGGTACTCATAGGTTCTCAAAGCTATCCTATCGGGTACCCTTAGGTCGCCAAGGGCTACTCTATGGGAGTTCCCATATGTTTTCAAGTCCTATTATATAGGAGCACCTATTGGTCCTCAAAGACTATCCTATGGGGGTGCTCATAGGTCCTCAAGTTCTATTATATAAGGGTACCGATTAGACATCGGTGTGACCAAAATGTCGTGACCAAAGAAACAAAAAGTTGTTCGATTATAGTTTCAATAGTAAATGTGAGAACCGAAACCTATTTAACTATTTTTGTTCAGAATTTTCTTCTCTTCAAAATGATATGTAAAAGTCGAAGAATCTGATGATCCATAACAGAGAAAATCACATCACATTAGTTCTGACCAATTCTAGTCACGGTCAGTCACGACGTTTACTGGTCACGACTAATGTGATGCAAGTTTCTCTGCTATGGATCATTGGATTCTCCGACTTTTATATATCATTTTAAAGAGAAGAAAATTCTGAACAAGAATAGTTAAATAGGTTTCGGTTCTCACATTTACTATTGAAATTATAATCGAATAACTTTTTTTTTCTTTGGTCACGACATTTTGGTCACGCCGATGTCTAGTACCGACAGAATAGCCCTCGAGGACCTATGGGTACCCCATAGAGTAGCTCTTGGACACCTATTGGTATCTTCATAGGATAGCCCTTGAGGACCTATGGGCACCCCGGTCTAATAGCTATTAAGGACCTATGTGTATCCCCATTTAATAACTCTTCAGGACCTACGGGTACTCTCATTAGGATAGCTCTTGGGGACTTATGGGTACACTCATAGGATCGCTCTTGAGGACCTATGTGTATTCCCATATAATAGCTCTTCAGGATCTATGGGTACACTCACAGGATAGCTCTTGGGGACTTATGGGTACCCTCATAGGATAGCTCTTCAGAACCTATGGGCATCCCTATAAAATAGCTCTTCAGGACCTATAGGTATCACCATATAATAGCTCTTGAGGATCTATGGGTATCATCCAGTGTTGGACAACTCTGGGTGTATACCGCTCCAACTCCAGATAACTCCACTCCTATTTTGAAAGATTCCACTCCAACTCCAACTCTATCTATGTACCGCCCCAACTCCATGTAACTTCACTCCTATTTTCAAAAATTCCGCTCCAACTCCAACTCTACCTTATTAACATGTAGCTCCAACTCCGATTTAACTTCAATTCAACTTCGATTCTACTAAGTGGCATATTACGAGATAATCTGAATAATTTTTGTTAATAGGTTTGTATTATTTTTCTTTTAATTAATAAGGGATGTAAAAGTCTTTGGAAGTATGTCGAAATTTATTCGTCAACAACGTAACATTGGATTGACTTGGATATTATTTTTTTGTTTGAAAGAGCAAAATTTGGAGAGTATTCACATAAAAAAGACAATTTTCGTAAACGCCCATTTTTAATGTCGTCCAGGTTCCCGACTCCCATGACAGAATGAGGCGAGAAAATACGAAAAAAAAAACATTTCCGTAGAACATTAGTCTGAGTGTAGGTGTAGGTATCTATGCCGTCTCTTCACATACCTACATCCACACCCCATATTGACTATTGGTTGGTCTATTCTGCCTTATCTACCTTGCTCATCTCATGTCCTTGTGTGAATAGATATCTGTAGTTCTATCTCTATGTCAATAGAGAGTCCATCGGTCGGTTGACGCTTTCTCATTTTGTAGTAGAAAAAGAGTATCACGTCTTTTTTACACTGTTTTCTCCGACTGTATCGTTTATATACTCTTCGTTTGTATAGTAACTTAGATACAGTGAAGATATGGTTTCCTCTCATCATTTGACATGTAAGAAATACTTTTCATGCTGTCTTCATTTCGAAAGTATGTCATAATACATTATGTAGTTCATAATTTATCATCTTACTTTTATTGCATCCAGCCATTGCAAGTTTTTTTATGTATGAACGTTGGTAGAAATCAGTCTTTTGATTTAAAGAGCCCCTCAGACTTGATTTCCCACTTAGAGCGGACTGTTCAGGATGAAATTCTCAGGAACAATTGGTTCTAGTGAGAAACACTTGTGGTAAAAATTTCAGCCTGATATACCAGACTAGACTGAACTTTTGGCTTGTTTTCCGACCTTCGAGGAGAATCGAAATAACTCCGTCGTTATGAGGGGTACAAAACTCGGGCTGATTTCAAAATAAGGCTAGTTTCTATGCACAACTTTTCATCGGACGGAATTTGTGAACTCTCTTCCATTTATTTTTTATGAGTATTTTAATGAACATGATGTTCAAAATAAGCATAAAAAAGGTGACTAGATCGACAGTAAATCCCATTTTTCTTGTTCCATGAATCAAATATCAAAAATTCGTCCAATGAAAAGTTAGCTCTCATTCAGATCTTTAAAACAAAAAAAAAACGTGTATTATAGCCCGAGTCTAGGGGTGTTATTTCAATTTTCCTGGTTAGAAACTGTGTGTTGAGAAAAACGCTAAAGAAGTTTTAGAAATGCACTTTTTCATTCAAATCTGGGAACAAATCATATTACAATAATATATTTTTTATATATTAAAGTAGGTAATGAATGAAGGTAGCTAACGGTATCTGACATGCTGGTTAATATAAAAATGTTCTATTCAATGATAATGTAAGTGGCAACGCAGGTTTTCCAAAATTGAAAAACTTTAAGAATCACGAAAATTTCTCCGAAAATATGGTAGTAGAGTCAAAGTTTTGTATGATAAGTCTTTGAAAATCTGATCATTTTGCAAAAGCCATATATATTCTGAAGGAGAAAGCTTCGCTGTATGTTCCTGCGATAAAAACTCAACTTCGATATTTCTTTGAAAAATTCGATTTTTTAAGGGAAGATTCCCTTAATGCAAACTTCATTCATGGTGATGTAAAGGATGTAAAATCACATCTAATTGAAAGTTGCCGTCAGAATGCTCATTCATGTTTAAGCGCCACAGAATACAAGAGAAAAAGAATTACTACTTCACGTCTTACATTCTTTGTTTTTTTTTCTTCCTTCATCATGTGCACTTTTTGCATCACGTGTAAATAGCCGTACGAAGAAAAAAAAAGGAATAAAAAGTATTCTCGACCTTTTTTTTTATTGGAGAAGCCTTGTAGTGTAAAAAATATAACATATGGAAAGAAAAAAATTGTGGTCAAGTTTTTGATGTAGATAATCACTTTGAACTGTTTCATACTTAAACAAATCGATCATTCATCATCAATATGGATTTCTTCACTGTCATTGTTGTTCTAATGTTACATCTTATATTATTAACTCAAAGTGAACTCGAACCATGTCCTAAACCATGGAGATTGCCATGTCCGCTACCTCCTTGGCAACCTACATACAATATGCAATTGTCAACGCAACATTATTTCTATTCAAGTGAAGGTTTTTATGATAATGAAACAGTTTCTTTTGCAGCATTACACGGTGTTGTTGGTGTAGATTGGGCTAATCATTATGGTCTCCCAATGCATCGAGAAGAAACATTAGTTCAGCAGGCGGCCTTCGTTAAAGCTGTTAATCCGAAAACTCGTGTATTCGTTTATCGTCAATCTGAACTTGCACTCAATATCTTTGATAATGGTGCGAAAGTAATGTATGATCCTTCGAAAACTGATTGGTTCGTTTTATTTCCGAACGGCACTATTTACAATGATTCTGTTATAGTCGACAACTATCGTATGGATCAATTCTGTTGGGATCATAGAAATCCAAAAGTACAAGACTATTTTGTAAATTATTATGTAGGTAGTGCATTTAGTCAATCAATTGTTGATGGAATTTTTTACGATGATGATGGAGGTATTTGGGATGAACGATCAAACTATCCTAATTATACTGAAGAATATCGACAAGCTGTCGATGCAGCTCAACAAGTATCTTTAAAACGAGCATGGGAACTTGGACTCAAATATGATAAACATGCATGGCAAGCTTGGTTAAGTCCTAATGTACCATCTAGTAATGACACACCAGCACAATGTGCAGAAAAAATGAAAACTGCAATATCAATGAAAAATGTACCAGTTACATTTCCTGCTATGTACAATGGTGCATGTGATTATCCATGGGAACAATGTCAAGATCTTAAACAACAATTAGCTGCATTTCTAATTGCACGTGGTGATTATTGGCTATTCTTTACACCAAATTCATGGTGGAAAGAAGGATTTGAAACTGATTATGGTGTACCTTTAAATGATGCTTATGAACCTTTTCCCAATTTCTTTGTACGAAAATGGAGTAATTGTACTGTTTATTTAGATTGTAACAATTTTATATCAGATATTATTTTTCCTTCAGTTAATCGTAAACGAACATGGCGTGGCTACTTAGTTTTTTTCAAATATCTCTATCATTTTTATCATCTTGTATGTCGATTTTGTCGTATGTTTTATTTCTAAATTCTTATATTAGAATGACAATATATATATGAGACTTTTTGTTTATTTCAAAATTACTTGTCTATTAATATAGAATATTGTGCTACCAGTTTTTTCTCTAGTAAATACAGAGACTATAAATTACAGGAGACAAAAAAATAAAAATCAAACTTCTAAGATATTACAAAAATAATTGTTAAATTCAAAACTTTGACAATAACTGAAAAGTTCAATTTTGTCTTGAACGAACAAGTATGTTAATCTATTGTTTGCTTATGGTTTTTCTTAAAGTTCTTTCCTTTTATTCTACCAAGACAAATACGTGCATCAAATTCAATAAAAAACTGTCGAATATACATATGCAGTAAATCAATGCGTGTTGCCGATGAATTATTGTAGCCATTATTGAATTAATCAAGCGTGCCAAATAAACTTTCAGCAAGTACAAGATTTAAATTTAATTTATCAGTAACTTTTGATAAATGATACGTAGTTATAGTAGAGAAAGAAGTAGTTTTGACAAGGTTTTCACAATTTTCATGTATATTCGGTAGAGAAGAACGTACAATGCGTCTTTCTGAAATATTAAAAAAAAAGAACAAGTAAAATATGTCGAAAAAGATACTACAATTTTTTTAAAATAATGAGAAAGATGACCACAAGTACCCACTCGATTTTGGATGATTTATTAAACATTGAAGATTTTTCGGTAGCATTATACATTCGTCAGTGCTGTTTCTGTCTAACGTATCAGTATCTAAAGAGCACAAGCTATCAATACTAGTTGATGATAATCTAATATTAACAATTGATGTTGACGATCTCAGAGATTCTATTGAACTAATATATTCATTACAGTTATTGTTATAATTTAAAGAAGGTAATTTTCTCGATTGTCTTGTACCTTGAATTTAGAGACAAGATTAACTTCGAAAAAAAATAAAGATTCAATAAAAAAGATAGATACTTGAATGTGGTTTGACTGTTAGTGTTGGTACTTTTGATGATAAATTTGATTTGATCCGAACTTGTTTTCCAATAATATTTATTCTATTGATTGGATTTGATCGTATTTTCAAGTGTTTTAAATCAATTTTAGCATTTCGTTTCTCATAGATCAAATTACTACTATTTATTTTTCTAGGTAAGAGAGGTAGCTGCAATTGACAGCAATGATATCTATTATTCAATTGATTGACTACAAAAAAAAAAACAAATTATCATAAAGTGACACAGAACAGAGATATTTATGACTGAGTTATATTTTACTCAACGTCTCAAGGATTGAATGTTTTTTTTCGTTGATCCGCGAACTACTTTACGGGTTGAAAAGTCATTAACTCGTTACGAGCTGTCCACGGATTAATACAAATCTTATTAGTAAAATATTTAGGTATAAGTTCGTTAGTTTTTTAATTATTTGTGAAACTAAGATTTTTATAATTAGACTAGTATCTTTTATTTCTGAACATATACATAAACATTATAAAATTTCAATTAAACTTCAAGACAACAAATAGTGAAGTAAAAGTAATAGTATATGCTTATATATACAATGGTAGTATTGCAGCTACGACTTCCACTAGAATAATAATAATGATAAATATGCAAAAAAAAATCGAAAAAGGACTCGATTACACATCATTCATTCTCATTTTCTACGTTGAACGCACTAATAATATATCATTCAATAAACTTGATTTTGTACGAGTGTAAGTATTGATGTGAGTACGACTTTACGATTCAGTGCGTCTAAGAAGAAGACCCACACTCCACATGCAAAGCGTATTCATTTATGTATATGCTTTAAACCGAGTAGGTAAATAAGTAGAACGAAAAACTAATAGAAGCAACTAGATCAGTGAAGGAACGAAACGGGTTGAGCCTACGAATATACGTAAAAAAAAATAACTTGATCTACGAAACTCGTAAATCGTGAAAATACCTAGCTCAAGATCCCTCAGAAATTTAATCTGCACACGGGTTACGAGTCGAGCGAGTTGAATCCAAAAGAATCAGCCTGTCAACATCTCTAATATAGAAGTAGTATTATTTAAAAAAAAAGAGATTAATTGATCTCAATCACTGAACTTTTTGGTATACTATCTTCTTCAACATTCGATTCATTAAATGAACATTGATTTGATTGATAAATATCAATTGAAGTGCACAGTAGATGTTCTTCACTATCTAAAATATATTTTTAAAAAATAAGAAACATAATAATCATTTCTGACCTTGTTCAATATCAAAATCTAGACTATCATAATTATCTTTTTCAGTCGAATTAGATATACATGTATCGATTTTATCTTGTTGTTCATTGGTAGCTAAAGATATTGTATCAGTTTGATAATCTTGTTTTTCAGTATCAATACCAAATTGTTCTGTTTGATCATCATCATTTTCGTCATAATATTTTGAATTATTGATCGTTGTTAAAAGAAAATCTGGTGTAAATTCTGTACTAACTTCTAAACATGTATTTGAAGAATCTAATTCAATATAATGTTGAAATTTTTGTTCAATACGTTTAAATAAATGTTTCGTTTCTTCTTTTATTGTCCAACGATGATGAAAACGACGTATTAATGAATTAATAGTTGTTTCAGAATATGAAATTAATTGATGATAAGAAGATGAATATTGTTGATGATGATGAATATGATAAATAAATGTATCTGAAAAAGCATGATTCAATTGATGACCAGGTAAATGAAAACTAACTGAACAAACAACAAATAAGTGATTGATTACAGATTAATGATATTATTTTTACCACTTGTTGACATTAATTCTGTGTGACTTGTTACTTTTTGTAATGATAATGATGTATCAATAATTTCTTCTTGTTTCATTTCAAACGATGAGGATTTATGCATTGAAAACTCAAGTATATTATGAATTGGTTCAGTATGAAAATGTATAGGATTGGCAGACTCGAATACTTTTTGATTATTTAATTGAAGAGTCCACTCAATATCAGTTTGTGTTTCAACAGTTGAAAATTGAGAACAATCATTTTCATTGGTCGATATCATTTTTTCGTTAGTATTCTTCTTCCTCATCAATTCAGATATGATCTTTTCATTATTAGGTATTGCTAAATAGGTTAATAAGATAGCAAGTTGACTAGCGATTGTTACTCGTAGAGATGTTATCTTTTGTTCAGTTAATTCATGTTGAAGAAGTGTTCGAATTAATATACATAGTTCTTCTATAGATTCGAATAGTGAATGAACTTTTTTTGGTTGATGATTTTCGACAACAATGTTAGATTCAACAAATGGTGATGATGATAGTGAATCAACACTTAAAATTTCAGTCATATTTCCAGTAGCATCAAATAATATGTATGGTGTTTGACTGATATCATTATTAATATAATGATGAGAATGGAAGTCAAGAAGATTATTGTTCGATGATGTTGAAGCAAGTTGTGTTGATATGGTTGGAAAAAATGAAGATAGAATATCGTTGAGAAAAATAGATGGAACTTGTGATGGAGATAATATTTCAATAAAAGTTGGAAGTTCTTCGATATTCTCAGTTTCATGTAATAATGGTCCGTTAGGTGTTATTTGTACTAACATATTTGTAGAAGAATCATCTTTGATATCATTATTAGACAATGTTGATGGAGAATTCGGTATTGTCTGATTAAGATATTTTTCTGTTATAATTAATTATTTGAAAAAAAAACAACTGATTGAATAATATAATTTTTTTTTTGAATATTATATTACTTTTATTTTCAATCGCTATATTGTCTGTAGGATATATTTCTACCTGATGTGCTGTTTCAAGTGAATGTGTGACTGGATTCATTGTATTCGAATTATCATCATTATCAACGAATTTTTGATCTACATCAATCGATTGAATAATTCTATGGTCAGCACTTGAATTGGATAAATTAGTCGGAGAATCAATAGATAATGATGTATATGATACATAAGAATCGGTAATATTTGAGATAACTTTTGATGGTTGAGAGCTATCAATCTCTGACCGTTTATGAAGGGGTGATAGCATAATAGGATGAATAGTTGATAGTGAATGATATTGTTGCTGAAGATCTCGTTGAAATTGTTGAATACGATTATAATGCGATGGAGTAATATTTGCTTGAAGTTTACGCCATGTAGAAGTACGATTTAATGGCAATGTTGATTGACAAATTTGAGAAGAAGGTAAATGTGAAATCGGATTTTTCAATGACTTCAAATCCTACAAGAAAAAAATCTAATTTTGATGAGAATAAAAATCTTTTCTTTTTCTGTTATTATATTGACCAACGACGTTTTCAATCGGTTGTTGACAGTTGGTTTATATGGTACTGGTCGTATTATATCTTTATACATCATATCGATAATATGTTCTTGATCATTAGTAAACCTTTGTTGTTGAAATTCATCAAAAGAATTTTCTAGAATAATCTCATTTTTTTTATCACCATCAGCCATTTGTGATGAATGATGACGTCCTACAATCGTTGTTGGTTTTTTCACCATATAAAATTCTACTTCATGATCTGCAGATTCTATAGATATTATTTTGTTTATCATTTCTTCTTTAGAAGTATTAGTGTCATTCATATGACGATCTTTTGATATTCTATAAGGATGAAGTAAATTCTTTGGTTTACATTTTGATCGTTGTGGTAAAGATTTTGGTTCGAAGGCGTTTGTATTTCGATGTACTATTCTATTTTTCTGTTGATAATGCAATGATGATTGTGGCTGAGGATAGGACATAAGAAATTCTTTAGGTTAACAACAATATAAATTAAGGAATCGATGATAATGATGACGAGACATTTTAATAGGATACGAATAAAAGTAAGATAATTATTGGAGGTGAGGTCATAAATATTAAGATACCTTGAAAAAGAATCATTTGATAAAAAAAAAGAATAGTTCATTGATATTGAACGAACATGATCATGATGATTTAATAATAGATACAAGAAAAAGGTGTATCGAGATATTGAAAAATCAGGCGCCAAGTATCTATAGAATAACCTGTTGACACGAAAACGATTAAAAATGAACAAATTTATGCAAAGATGATATATTTTTTCAATGTTTGAACTCGAACAACATATTTATATTTAACATAGGTGTCTCACTGTCTTTTTCATTCTTTATCCTGTTCGTGCATCGATATTCACGAATGTGAGGTAGACACAAACAACGTACATGAATCACAATCCCTAAACAAATAGATGATCAATTATACTCCGCTCTTTTTTCTCCTTCATTCTCTTTTTCGATATGGGATATACATATACATATGCACATATACACACACTCATTATTCTCGAAGAGTCGATTTTACCTTGACTATATTCAACTGACGAAGACAACATAATAATAATGATATTCGCCTACATGTGGTTTCTACTTTTTAGTGGTATCGTGTCTATTATTGCAGCACAAGATTCCGAACATCTGAAAGGTAAATATGATCAAAATTAAATTAAATTGATTTATACGATTCATTTTTATTATAAATAGAAATGCGTTTTAAATTGTGGTTACAACCTGATACTGAAGAATGTTATCATGAATTAATAGATAATGGTACAAGTATATATTTTATATATGAAATTTTAAATGCTCAAACACATGATAGCAGTATTATTGCTTTTTTTCGCAATGCTACTAATGGAGATGTTGTAGCTGTTTCAACAGCTCCTCAACGAGGTCATCTTCAACTTATAGCAAATGCAACAAGTCAGATTATTTTCTTTTTTTGAATTATTCCATTTACTAATTATTCTATTATATTTTTAGGTGTAATTGACATTTGCATGACGCATACAAAGTCAGATAATTCCGCTAAATATATCTCTGTATTCTTACATGTTTATCATATTGAGAAAATTGCGGCTAGTATGAAAGACAAAGAAGATTTTGATAATTCGTCAATTATTGCTCATGTATGTAATATTTTTATTTAATAAATAAATTTTAAAAATTTTTACTATTTCTAGAATTCAATTGATTTTATTAGTTATCATATTCGTGTTATACGTGAAAAACAAATGGAATTGCAAATGATTAATCAAAAAGATTCTTATTTACTTGAACAAAATATATTATGGGTTAATCGATGGGCAATTTTACACATTAGTTTAATCATTAGTTGTAGTGTCTTTCAAACTTTTTTCATTAGACGTTTATTTCAAACACCAATAACAACTAAACGAGTGAAAAAATAAAATAAATTTTGTTTAATAAATTCATTTAGACAAAAAAAAACATTCGTATAGGATACAAAAGTTGTTTTTTTATAAATTGTCACAACTTTTGTAATCCACAACTGAATATTGAACAAACGTGCACAATTGAATAATTAATTCAATAATTCGTTTACGCACATCTCATAAACTAAGTTCCACTAACAGTCATTCTTTCGCATTAAAGTTTCATTGCTGATAAGACATGTCGATTTAGTAACTTGAGATTTCAATTTGAAACATTTTACTTGACTGAAATTGATAAATGATCCTATGATTACATTAGATCGTTCTGCATGACACTACCAGAAATGAAGGCGACGAAAGTGATGGTATACACCAGCCAATAATTGAAAATCAATTATTATTGCTCAGTAAAATTATAGAAGTATGAATATTCTACTTAGGATACGAATATTACAATTCAATGATTTAAAAATTTAAATTTCAAAATATCATCAATGACATTTAAAAGCTTAGTCAGCTTATGACAATTTGTTATATGTCATATTTTGAAAATGTTTAACACAATCATAGATTAGACGTGATGAAAATCTATGACATGAATGAGTAAGAGAAATTTCTAATATACAAATGACTTGAACAATTAATCGATTGAATTTAAAGTTTGTATTTTTAATGATAAATCAAACTATGAATAAAATTAGAACACAATATATGTCTTTATGAATTATCCATAAAAGACGGACGCTCAGACACTTACTAGGAATATTTTTTCTTCTCTTCATACAACTTTCGGTGAAATTTTCAACGCTTGTTTGTGTTTTAAAGAGTATTTTTAAATAGAAAATGAACTGAATGAATCAGCTGAATATGAATATGGTGTTGAAATAATTCAAGATTATGCTACATGGGCAGATAGTTATTTTCTAGAGTATTTATACGTGATTTTCGAGTGCCATTGGTATTAAATATTATTTTTTTGTTTTTACTATTTTCTGCTCACTAAAATCGAACATATTTAAAAAACAAAAACTTTGCAGTAGGTTAGATCTTTATCTATTGTTTATAAAATATGTTTATTCGTTTCTATTTTCGATATATTTAATTAATAAAACACGAAGCACTATATTAGAATAAGCAAACTTTTTTGGGAAGCTTTTCCTATACTGAACGTCAGAGCCCGACAGGTTGTTCCAGAATTCCGAACTAGATGGGGTGCGGACCTGAAATTTTTCTGTTAACCGAGTGCGAAAATTTTGCACAATGGGCTCTAGTCACCGAATACAAACAACAGAAAAAATATATCTCATATCTTTGGCGCGACTAGCCAATTTTGTTAAGAAAATTTCATTCGACGTATCAAAATACGGTTCAAGCGGATCCGAAAAAGTTCAATCAACCGGATCCGAATGCCTGAAAACTTCAATAAACTGGGCTTGAATCCGAAAATTTTGGACCCGACGAGCTCTACCGAAAGTCCAGAAGGTGTAAGGGGATCCTAACACGAGATTTTTAGCTGGGTGTCCATTATGAAGGACCTCTTGTATTAACATATTTCACGTCTTCATACATTTTTTTTATTCTTTAACTGATTTTTGTTTTTAATACTTAATACGCATACAAGCAAATAATTAAAGAAGCGCACCATTCATTTACATTTTATTTTGCAACAAAAAAGAAGGATATTCATATGAAGAAAAAAAAAATAAAAATAATGTTTAAGTAGGACTCATTGAAACTAATGATGATGTTGAATCAGCCGTATCGGATGGTTCTCCTTTGATAAGCATTGGCGCTGGTGATTCTTCTGAAGTACCAGATGGTATTTTTTTGTTACGTTTCCATTTCATTCGACGATTCTGAAACCTAATATTTTAATACAAAAAATATTAAAAAAAAAAACAATCTCGATTGAAAAAAAAAAGTTTTCTTTGTTTACCATATTTTTATTTGTGTTTCACTTAACATTAAAGATGTAGCCACTTCAAAACGCTATGAAATAATAAATAAAATTTTTTTTCAGAAAGAAAAAAAAAATATAGAACATGTAATATTTTACTTTTGATTTTGATAAATATTTATTTTCTCGAAATTGTTTTTCAAGTTCAAGTAATTGTTGAGATGTAAATGCCGTACGTGGACGACGAGATTTTCCATAATAAGATAAAGTTGGACCTAAATATAAAAAAAAAAGAAAAAAAAATTTATTCATTTTACTTTTAACGGTGTTATTTCCTGCTAAAATTATTATTTAAGATGCATATGATCATCACATCAACTTCTTGATCATAGTAATAACTTGAACAAATATATCTTGGGCGCTCAATTGACTTTTGATCATGTGTGTCAACAATTATACCGACTTCCTCTATCTCTCTTAGTCTGATCATCAACAACATCAGCAAATGAAAAAAAAAGAGGAATGTGTGAAAAATCGCGTCTAACCATAATCAATAAGCAATTAATGAACTCGATGTCTAAGAGTGTAAGAGACAACAAGAGAAGAAAAAAATCACTCAACATCAATAATCAATAATTATCATTTTTTCTTTATAAAAATAGAATTGTATTTTAAATCGATTTCTAAGCTCGGATAAACTCAAATATATATATATATATATAGTCATTTGAATAATTCTACATGATAACTACCTTGATAAGATGTACCATTAAGTTTATGTAATTGATAAAAATCATTTGAACAAGTTGAAGATGTTCCAAGTGAAAAAGATCTTATTGAATTTGTTTTATTATGATTTTGTTCATTCAAATGTGCTGCAATAGCAGCATTTTTACAGAATATATTATATAATTGTTGTACACTATTGTTTAAAATGAATTGATGTTGTTCTTCAATTGAATTATTTTCTTCTTCATGTTTATTATTTTGATCACCGAGAATCGAAGCTATTGAAAATGTTGTCATGATTTTTCAGTTATTCACTCCAAAGCATAAATGGTTCTACTATAACTTGTTGAAAAATATAGAGGAGAAACAGAAGGAGAAAGAGAGAAGAAGGAGAGAACATGAGACTCATGATCGATCAATCAAAATTATCATCATCATCGTCTAATTTTTTTGCAGTTGTTCTCTGCGTTCTTGAGTCAACAATTGATGCAAGCAACGAAAAAAAAACGGAGTTAGCAGTATAAGAGAGAGAGAGAGAGACAGACAGAGATAACACCTCGTTCTCTCTCTCTCTCTCTTTTGCTCAATAAAATCCAATTGAACACGATTATCTGTCATTGAATGAAACGAGAACTGTGTTTGTGTATATATTTGCTCTCCCATCATCGCTTATTAATTGACGGATATTAAAATATGTCAAGCGCAAGCTGTCCACGACGACTAACACTAACGCGACAATTCATGATCAAAAGACAGTTTAGAGAGAACAAGAAAAAAAAACAAGAACTCTTAATTTAGTGATAAAGAATAACGATGAATTTCGTTAAAGGACACAAGTAGTTTTTTTTCTTTTTGTTTTCTTGTCATGTATATTAACTTCTACATAGGTGACGGTTATATTTTGTTCAAGTGTATGTTTGCATGTCGAAAGTGGATAGTGAGAAGTTGGACACGGCTGATAAATGTTGTATTTATATATATAGTTATCAAGTACCAAAGCATGACAAGTTGATGATGAACAATCATGTTGTTTTCATCGTTTGAATTAGTCAGAAAGAAACTACCGTTTAAAATATATATATATATATTGAAAAAATGGAAGTGAATAAATAGTTCAAAAACTCTATTGTTTGAATGAAGTCAGGAATAGAGAAGAGGAAATGTCATGCCCATATAATCTTGAGTTGAATATAGGTAGATCATTTATTTCTATGAGTATTTGCTCATATCTTTTTTTTTTTTGTACTCTAACGACATTATCAAACACATCAGATATATTTCTCTGTAATATTTGTTTTGAATATGTAGTTCATTTTATCAAAATCATTGACATTCATAAGATAACAGACACAGTTATCAGTTTAATCAGAAAATGTGTTAATAAAAATTGATTGTTTTTTTTTCAATTATCTATCTATTGACAATTTATAAAGTTAATTTTCATTGTTTTTTTTTTAATGAATATCTACCTCGTTTGGTATCATTTAATTTGATGTCGATGTTGGATCTTGTATATATAATTTAAATTTTTTTTTATCTATTTTATTCTTTCTTAATGAATTATAATTTTTTTTATAAAAGAGATGATCAAATTAATTTAACTAGTAGTGTCAATCGATGTACAATGTTATATAATGAAATCCATAGTATGACTGTGTCTTTTCCTTACGACTTTGTTGTCGTTTCTAACAAGTATAAAATATTTTCATGAAAAAAAAAACTAATATCTATTTCAAATGAATTTGACTCAATATAAACTATGTTTATATATACAGGAAATCATATTTCTGTTTGTGAAAACTACGAGATCTACTTACAATCATCGATAAAAGTAATTATAACAAACTCTTCATATGGTTTTTCTATACAAATCAAAAGTATTGAAGATGCAATTATTAACATACATTCTTAAAGTCATTTATTATTCATTATTATGATTAATGACAAAATCTAAAAAAAAATAGGAAACGTACTGACAAGTGAACGCTATTAAATAATAAAAAGTTTTTTTTTAGTTCAAATAGGATTCTCCAGTGGAAAAAGTACAAACTAGAAAAGATCTGAGAGAATATTGGTGTAAGCTATGGCTTGGATGAGATATCGGCTATTAGTATCATTATTCTGCAATACTTAAGTTTTCAATTTATTAATTTGAGATATTACTCATGTAAAATGCTTAAATCGATTAGGTTATATAAAAAGTTCTAGAGTTTTGAAACAATCTCCATCTAAGATATGAATTTTCCAAAATATTGATGCGTAATATAATATTCATGAAAAGTCATCTAGACACTGAAACAGTAATGCTTTGAGGAGAACTTGTCCAAAAATACTGAAACTTTGTATAAAAGCTGCTCCGATTGAGCTCTTTTTATGGATAGGATTTCGC